CTGCCACTCTTAGCCTGGACGCACTGCAACAGTTGTACCTAAGGAATGATGTAGCTAACGAAACCTATGCTAAAGCATCCAAAACCCAGGAACAACCCCATTTCCATCACCTAAACCACCAGGGAAGTTGAGATTAACCCAAGTTATGCACTGGTTTGCAAACATGCCACAAAAGCTGCTTGTTAGTTAAGAACTTCCCACAGCTCGGGAAGAAGGAGAAGAGAACAGAAGGAAACCCTCAAAACAACCCCACCAAACACGTGCACACACAGGTTTGCACTTCCTGATGCACAGGATCAGAGAAATCCACACTTCGGGCAGCAGACACGTGGTTCTTTCCTATTTATCATAAGATACTGAGGGAACATTTTCATCTTGACTAAAGCAACAGTTCATTTGAGCCAACTTGCTAATGCCAGGCCTTCAAATCCCAACTACTTGTGCGGTGTTCTCCCTTCCCATCAAGCCCAATGCTCAGTCCATCAGGCTATAACAGCATGTCACCACACACGCACAAACTGCCAAGCAGTAAAATAAGTCTAAACTCAGGCACGACGTTTTATTACTCAAGTTCAAGAACAAGAGAGAATCCTACAGGCCACCACGGAGAGCGCAAATCCACGCTCACACCACCACTTCCTTCCCTAGGGCCTGGGGTCCACAACAGCTCCAACGCTTCACTTCTGGTCTCACATACAAAGTTGAGTCAGCTTCAAATCTGAAACCAAATTAGACTGAAAGGGCACCATCTACCCTGCTGTACTTAGCTCCAAATGTACTTAATAGCAAGACTTGAAGTAATTCCTCTTCTATACCGACCTTAGAACCCGCAAGACCAAGACAAAGCGCACACTGAGAATTAAAGAACTGCGTTAAAGTGTTGCTCCGTGGTAACAGCATCAGTAAGAACCCTAGAAAGAAAGGCACAAACTGATGCCTCTCATAAACATGCAGCAGGTCATTTTATTTAGCCATTAATTCCTCTCTAAACAGGCAACAAAAATGCTAATCGTGGAGCTCAGCATCATTTTGCCTCCATCACTGTAATCTCCTCTCTGACTCCACAATTACCCCACTCTGATTCACAGAAAACCTGACCATGGAATCATTTCCTAACCACGCGCTGATGAGATCTCTCCTCTTTGAGGCTTCTTCCCCACCTGATCAAGTGCAAGCTTCCTGGTGCTGTCCCCAAGGTGTAACTGTACCTTGGCTCTTCACTTGTTCCTGCTCCTCCGTGCTTCTGTTTCACAAGTGACAGCATTCCATTGCACGGGTTCCTTTCGTCATCCCTCCCCCTTTTAGTTAAGTAACACCACTGCTTTCTCTGTGCTACTCTTCACACTTTGCCTACAGGATCTTTACCGTCCTTCTTGCAGCTCCTGCCTTAAAATCTCCATGTGCAAATGCAGTCAAATGATGACAGCCACAGTTCAGAGGCAGCTACACAAGGCTGAATTTCCTGGACTAAGAACCATCTTGTATCAGTCTCTACACGGCCTTACAAATGATGCTCAAGACATGCCCTAACCATCACCCCAAGAAGCAAACCAGAGCAAACTGCCAGTCTCTCATCCAGTAGATTCTGTTAAGTCTCAAATCCCTCCTGGAATCAGTCTTCCCCATAAGATTAACTAGGAAGCAGTTTAACATCCGCTTTGAAACGTGCAACCTAGAACTGAAACTGTTCATCAATGAGTTTTCTAATGCCATTTACAGGTTTCAAACTTTTTATTCATTCTTATTTCCCTGGTGACACATCCAAAGCCTTTTTTGTCCATCATCTGCTAAGATTTCTGTACCAAGGGCTGACTCCCACTGCCAGCTCCTCAATCCACTGCTCCCCATCCCATTAGCAATATTAAATGAGATTTTGTTTTCCTCTGTCCGATTTACTACAGATCTTCACTCCTGTTGATGAAAACATCCAGGGATTTTCTAGCTGGAAGCTATTTTCCTTCTGTTCAGCTTCAGCTCCAAGGGATGTCCAAAAATCCAGCTGAGCGTTTGAAATCCCAAACCATTCCTAGGAAGTCTTTGGCCTCCTGTAATTGCTTCTCATAGGCCTCGTCTTCTTTCTCGTAGGGCTGTAGGAAGAGGTGCATGATGACATTCCAAGGGTGCTCCAGTGGGAGGGAAACTTAGGAAGCAGATGTGATGTTTCTTCTGGTATCTTAAGCTCTGGTGTCCTACCCCAACTGAAAAGGCTGGAAGCAAAAGATTCCCTTTGGACTTGCCTGATCATTCTGATGTTTCACTACCCATATGCAAAGCAACCTGAAACTGCCCAACACTGTATAACGAACCCCATATTTGATCAGACCAAAGGGTCATTTAGCCTTAGGCTGTTAGTCCTAGCACCAGATACAGGACATAGTAATCCACTGTTCCACTTCCAGTGTCCAAAGGGGGCTACAAGGGTGCTGCAGAGGCACTGTAGTGGCAGGACAAGGGGTGATGGGTTCAAACTGAAGCAGGGGAAGTTCAGGTTGGCTCTAAGGCAGAAGCTCTTCCCTGTGAGGGTGCTGAGGCGCTGGCACAGAGAAGCTGTGGCTGCCCCATCCCTGGCACTGTTCAAGGCCAGGTTGGACAAGGGGCTGGGAGCACCCTCCTCCAAGATCTTGCTTTCACACACTATGAATTCTCCTTCCTGCTCCTTTGGCTCTCAGGTGCACTCTGCCTCACTCCTACAGGTGCCCACTGTGGGGAAAAGTCAGCTCTCAGGCTTCTGGCTTTCCTGTTTGGAAGCTGGGAGATGAAACATCCCCAATGGCAAACGTCCTCCTCTTGCCAGCACCAAGTTACTTGAATGAGAAGTCAACAATCCCCCTGACAATACCTATTCCAAACCAGCTGTAACTCAGTAACTGTACATGCTCCTTCCATTCTTCTCTTGTGCCAACAGCATTACAATTGCCATCCCCAAGCCCATCCCTTGCACCAAGGGTGTAAACTGCTTTTTGTATCCTCGAGGACAGCTGAAACTTCCCAAAACAACCGAAGACAAGCTGCTGCTTTTCGTAAATCATGACTCAAGTTATTCTCTGGTTTACGATCACTCAACATGAAGTGCTTTCTAGATGCTGTTGACTGCACCAATCAAATGCAACTGAAGTTTTGGCTGTCAAACGGAACCAAGATTTGTCTTTACACCCAGACGGAGACCTCCTCAAAAGAACAAACCCAATGTCTTATCACACAGCTTAGAAAAGCTACTGAAGCTTTCATTTTCAAGTGCAAATGCCGCTTAAGAACTCGAGTGCGCAGGCAGATGATGATTTTAGAGCCCATCTCTACCCATATGTTCAACCAGCTGCTAGAACTTCCCCATTCACGCCGAGGCAGAAGCCCCAGGGATGGGCTGGAGGTGCTCAAGGATGCCCATGTGAAACCCAACCTTTGCGATCCACCAAAGCCCCCTGCGTTCTTTGGCACGCATCGCTCTGCACGTGCAATCCGTATCAGGGCATGGAAAACAACCAAAACAACCCCCAGAACACGCAAACGAGGGGCCTGACAATGGAAATGAAGCGTATTTAAATGTCAGGTCCCGGAGCGTTAGCGCGCATCCATCCCTGCTCCCCACATATCTCCTACCCAGCCTGGAAAGCCACGGTAAGAACCCACTGCCTCAAGCCTGGCTCCTGACAACACACAACTTCCAGGAGAGCGAATGCGTGTCCTGAGGCCATCTGATGGGAACCCACATCCCGAGCCCTTTCCAGTTCTCTGCTCCGTAATTAACAGGGTGAAGGAACCACAAACCAAAGGGTGAAACCCAGAAGTTAGGAAGTCAGGAGCCTATCTAACAGTAAGCGAAGGACAGCAGCACCTTGGCTCCTGAGCCCAGAGGCGGGTCACAACCATCTCACCCAAAAATACCGCCCGATTCAACCGAAAGAGCCGAAAACCGCACTAAAAGTGAGGTTTCAGCAGCACGAGGGAGGCCATCGCAGGCACAAAAGCCCCCAAGGCACCGACCCACCAACGCCACCCAAGCAGCAGCACTCCCGGCTCCGAGCAGAGCCGCCGCCGAGGGGCCGGGCACGGACCCCAGCCTTGGGGCTACGGAAAGGACCCGATCCCGGGGAACCCCCCGCGGCACCGGGCCAGCTGTCAGGTGACCTCCCGCCCCCCCCTCCCCGCGCCGCGGCCCCACACAACGCACGAGCGCGGCTGTCAGGCAGCGGCACCCCCGCGGGGCCCGGCCCCGGCCCCTGCCCGCCGCCACCGGGACCCCCCGCGGGCCGCGCCGGGATCCCCGCCTCCCTCCCCGGCGCGGGCCCGGCTGTCAGGGATCCCCCGCCCCCTCCCGGCGCGGGCCCGGCTGTCAGGGATCCCCCGCCCCGCTTCCCGCAGCGGCCCCGCCGGGGTCCCCCCCGCTCCAACTCCGGGCGCGGGCACGGCCGAGCCCGCCCCCCCCCCCCCCCTCCTCCGGCCCCGGCCCGGCCCCACGCACCCCCGCCACCACCGGGGATTCCCCCCGCCGCCGCCGCCGCCCTCCGAGCCCCCTCCGCCGGGGCTGCCCCGCGACCGGGTCCCGGTCACAGCGATGCGGGGCGGTCCCCGCGGCGCGGCTCCCCGGCCGGGCTCCCCTCCCCCCGGGCCCCGGGCCTGAGGCGGTCCCGTCCCCGCCCGACGCCCCGCTCGCTCGCCGCGCTCCTCACCGTGTCAGCGACAACGCGAGCGGGGCCGAGCCCGGGCTGCTCCGCGCCGCATCGTTCCCGGCCGCCCGCGCGGACGGGGCCAGGGCGGGACCCGCACGGACCGGCCGCCGCTTCGGCCCTGCTCCGAGCCGAGGCAGCGAAACCAAAATGGCGGCGGCTCCTGCTCCACCGCGAGCGAGCGCCCCGGCGCCCCGCCCGCGGCCACGCCCCGCCCCGGCGCGGCCACACCCCTCCGCCCCGGCCCCGCCCCCGCCCGCCGCGCAGCGCAGCGCTGGGCGGGGCCTGGCCCTGCTCGGCTCCCGTAGCGGCCCTCGCGTGCGGCGGCGCCGCGGCCTGCGGTGAGTGTCGGGACCGAGGGGCACCGGGCACCGGCTCCGAGCCGGGCCCGTCTCTGCTGCCGTGTGCCTGGCGCTTGGGGTCGGCTTCCTGCAGCCGGGAGCGAGCGCAGAGGGCGAGCAGCAGGGGGGTGTGGGGGGGCGGTGGGTGAGGGCCGCAAGCACTTCAGGGCGCTTTGCATCAGCTCCGTGCTGATCCCTGAATCCCTTCCTGAAGGCCACAAGTGGGTCTTCCGCCATGGAAGGGCGCGCTGAGCGGGCTGGCTCTGTAACGGGAGCCGGTTTGGCTCTCCTCCCTCCCCCGGAGACAGCCAAACCCTGGAGAAGAACGTTCAGCTGCGTTGGAGCAAATCCCTTCCCTCACCGCTAAACTGATGTGAAGCAAAGCGGCTGTGTTCTCATGCAGAGCACAACTTCTCCTTCCTCTCCTGTATGCGCATGGCAAAGGAACAGGCTAAAAGAAGCCTCCCCGGGCCGATGGCTTCGCTTGTCCTTGAAATGGCAAAAGTGGGGCTTGTTTTCCAGCTTTGGAGCGTGCGGTGCCTGCGGGAGGAAGGGGGAGGTAACACGTCTGCAGGAAGAGAAGCGCCTGTCCTGTGGTGGGGTTCTCTCATCCTGGGCTCGGTTCAAGCATCCTGGGCTCGCTGCAGTTAAGCACCAGTCCCACTACGAGCCATTCCTCCTAAGGGATTACCAGGTCATGATCTGCCTTTGAACGCATTGGGGTAACTTCCTGCAACCAGGAATCCTTAAAGCATCTTTCTTAGGTATTGTCGTTATCTTCTCCTCCAGGAGTGGGAGGAAGAAGGCCTTGAACGCCCGCAGGGATGACAGATTTAACCATTTACTGACCTTTGTGCCTTTCATTTTTGCGTCACAGTTGCTCAAGTGGCTTGGATTGGGGTTTGGTTTGGAACCAGATGTTACTGTACCTGAATACGAAGCACCTTCAGCCTCTGCATTAGTCCAGTGTCTTCAGAGTAACCACTGTGTAACTGCTGCTTTTCCATCTGCTTAACAGCTGCACTCAAACTAATGCCCTTCCCCAGGAATTTAGCCTGTACTAGATGAATGAAGCATCTTGACCTCTAAAGTGAGGTTTGGGTTTGGTGTTTTATTCTGGGGTTTTTTAATGTATCTCTGAAAAAAGGCAAGACAAAAAAGGAACAGGTTTTTATTAGGCAAATGGTGCTGGTTACCAACAGCCACTGTACTGCTGCAGGTTCTGACAGCTTGTCCGTATGATTTGTGTGCCAAGACTTGAAGCTCTCTGGGCAGGAATGATTCTCTCCTAGCACAAGATCCATGAACCATAAGAAATCCCCCTAAAAAATCCACTTTTTCTTTGCAGAAAAGATGCTGAGGAGTTTGAAGGGACTTCTCTCCCATCCCCTAAAGGTAAGCCCCGCAATGGTGCGCTGCTGCTGCCCGGGTTTCAGCTGTCCTGTGAACTGGAATGACCATTTACACCTGCCAGAAGTGAGCTGCTGATACCTCTGGCAGCTGAAGTCTTGGTGCCTCCCACGAGCGGAAACTCCCACTGCAGGCAAAGGGAAGAGAGCCCACTTGGGTTGTTAGTCCTTCTACACTTCCCTCTGTTGGCTGGAGAGAGGCCATGGAGCGAGGCAGGAGCGCTGGCTTACGGCGCGTGTTAGGAGGTTAAAGTTTGGCATTCTGCAATGTCCAGAATGCTGGAATTCCACATCTGAGCCGCGAGTGTGGCTCAGGAGACAGCACTGACGTGCTCTGCGCTGCTGGGAAGTGCAAGGGGAGAAGCCCGTTCCACAGAACAGATCCCCCAGCCTTGCACAGAGGCTGTTGCTGGTGGGAAGATAATTTTGCATGAGGTGGGTGTAAGTAATATCAGCTCTGCCACAGCAATGCAGCAGCGCTGTGTTAGCAGAAAAGCTCCCTTATACTATAAAGAGCACAATGAGTTTAATGGTGCAGGTCTGGAATGACTTCACAGTGGGAGAGACTCTCATTCGGTTTGTTTGCTCTTGTCTTCCCGATGCTTTTTCACCAGCCCACCCTGACGTGCAGCCATTAAAGAGGATGCTGTATAACGGCTTCTTTCCAGAGATGAGACTCGCTGTACGGTACTGATGATGGCAGCTTGATGAAATAAACAGCCTTTTCTAGGGACTGAGATATGTGGAAACATGTAGGAACAGCTCCACCTTATGGCACATGACTTTGGGATTAGTCTCCATGTACCACGTGATGGTTTGCTGCCATTTCAGGGATCCGAGTTACACTACTCTGTCCTTTAGCAGATACAAACTTACTATAAACCCCACTCTATGCTACTAGGAAAACAGCATTAAAAGGTGATGTGAAAACCCGAGAACCTTCTCGACACGTTAGGATTTACTGCACAGCTCTACGTTGAGCCAGAAAGGTGCATGGATGTGCCTCTGGCATTCTGCATGAAGCCAAGGGGACCAGGGATAAGCCACTGCCTTTTGTCAGGAGGAGGGATCAAGTGGCACGTTGCTGCTATAAAGCAGGAGTAGATAATGCATTGGCAGAGTGAGTAACTGGCTCGCTATGAGTAGTGTTGTATTCACTACTGTAGGAGCTTCTGTTGGTTTTGTAGCACTTCAGAGAGTTAGGAAAGCATTTCATGTCCTCAGGTGCTTAGAAACTGCTTCCACAGCCCAACACAAGCTACGTTCCACAAAGGGAACGTTCCAAAGCTCTCAAGGCTACACAGTGGTTCTGAGGAAGACTGATCACGCCAAGGTTCAAAGAAGTGATGCTCTAAACCAGGCTCCTCCCAGGAGAAGGATGTAGGAAGATGGGATATGTTCTGTTGATAGAAAAATAGAAGTTCCATGTACTTGGCTGCAAGAGCAGGGGGCTGCACTTCAAGACAAAGTCCTTCTCTAGGCACACAGGAACTGAACACACAGAGGAAGAAGTGAATCCTTGCTTGATTTTCATCCACTGCTCCACAGGTCAGGATTTGCATGGGACTCCTGAGAAAGGATGTCCCCAGAGCAGTGAGCTTGCCTTGAAGTGAGCAGAGCTCACAGCCTCAAGATGTTCACTTGGGAAGGAGGGAATGTGGGATGTTCAAAGGCAATGAGAGGGACCATGGGGCCAGGTTCAGAATAACTTGGGGCTGACCTTTTCTAGGTGAACAGGAGACAAGAGCTGCATGCTCTAGTTATCCATGTATTACATTATCATCCTGGGGCCTTGCTCTGGGCTGTAAATGAAGACACTTCTGTGGATCTGAACTGAAGGCAGCCAAGTAGGACCATCCTAAACTGATGGTTTGGATTTGAGGAAAACACCACTGTGGCAACAAGAGAAATACGTGGGGACAAAACTGAGTGTTTAGTGATGCTCTGCATTTGCCCTGCAGTTAGAGAGGTATCTAGTGCTGAGTCCAAACCAGTTGAATTCCCTCCCTAAGAGGAGAGGGAGCGTGGAAGGGCTGATGCAGGAGCCCATTGTGTGTTTGGGATGTGGGGTAATCCAACATTACACTTTCTTCTTGTGGCTTTCCAATGACCCCCTGAGGAAAAGCGGGATGACAGCAGAATTGCATCATGCCACGGAGAACTGAACCAGCTGCTCCTGTCTCTAAACTTTACTTTATGGCTCCTCTCATCTCTGCAGACAGACAAAATAGGAAACTCCTTGCTCTGTTTACAGCTGGGGCCTGCAACTGTTCCAGTCAGTAATGGGAAGGGTGACTTTCAGTTTTGCTTTGGTCCCAGCCTCTGCCTGGAGCATTCACTGCTTCAGTCCCTGACAAATGCTTCCATTTTCTTTCACCACAACGTCATAAAATGCTTGTCCTTCTCCTCCTCACTTGCCTGGTTTGGCCCAAGCTTTCCAGGCACCCTTCAGCAGTCTCTCTATGGAAGAAAGAACTAATCGGCTTAGTTGTCCCTTTCTCAGCCATGTCTGTGTTATAATGAAAGAGTCTGGATGCAGAGACACGGGAAAATCAGTGTAGGGAACGTCATTACAAATACTGAACAGTGGGTAGCACTGCACTAATCTCAACCACTGACATGCTTCTGGGTTACCAGCTGGAATTTTCAAGGTACCAGCTACTGCTCATCAGACTAGGCAGAAGCACTGGGAGAATATCCCAGCAGTAAGATCTTAATGGCTGTACTTGTGCCCTTAAGCAGTCTTGAAGGGGATAGAGAACTCTTCCAGGAACAGGGCTTGGCTCTCCAGATAACTTATATGGTAGCCAACTGAAGTGAATGGCAGTGGTTTAGAGGCAGCCTCTCAATGTGATGTGGCTCTACACCGTGTGCTTTTTCATGATGAATTTACATCCTAATGATGAGGTTTTATTCTCATTGCATGGGATCGTTACGTATTGCATGCTACCCTCACAGCCATCCTCATGTGCACGCAGTGAGTGTACAAACCAAACCACTGCCTGGCTTCCTTTGCCTGCTCAGAAGTTTGTTGTCCGTTTGCCTTTTCCTTCCCTCAGCTGGACCATGGCTGTGCCCTCCATGTGGCAGCCAAGGATTGCTTAAGTGCTGCTGTCAGCCAGGATGTCCAAGCCCCAGCACCGACACCGAGAGCAATTTTCTACACCAGTGAGAGCAACCCGGTGAGTAACTGCCACAACCATCACTGCCAGACAGCAAGTGCCTGGGACACGCTGCAGCCAGGGGTGCTCACTGGCCTTGTGTGCTTCTAGTGAAGATAAGGGACTACATGGGTTTAATACCAGGCATCTGGAGCATCCTTGGCCCGAAGGAAACAGGCCCTGGCTGTGCACTGCACCTGCCTGGGTTTAAACACCACAGGGCTGGTCCTCTGCCTGAAAGCTCCTGGGACCAAGTATTGATTCCTTCTCTACAGTTGCATAGAGGAGATAGGCTGTGAATTGTAGAAGCTCAGATGTGGCTTAGCTTGTCATCAGGCACCATTAATTTCAACTCCAGGGTTATTCTTCCCTGACTAACCTCCCCAAATTGGCTATGAAAGGGGGTAAAAAGCACACCCCAGATGACCTCGGCACAGCCCAGCTCTCCAGCATCATAATTCCAGCCTCACACTCTCTGTCTCAAGCACAAAATGAAGTGGAATAAATGAATGGAATAAGCCTTTGAGGTGCTTTGCTGCTGCCTCTGTAATTGGAGTCTTTCAATACTGATTCCTCTGGGGTCTCTATGGAAACAGCAGCATGCAGATGATCTCACTCACGTGATGCGAGTGTCTCTATAGATTGCACAGAAGAGTCCAGATGGCAAGGATTGTCCCCACTGTCCTGTGCCTACCATTTAGGTTGCCAGGCAACTGGCTTTGGCATTCTGGTTTCATGTGCCTGATGTTTGGCGACCGCCACCATTGCTTATTCATTCCTCAGGTCAGTGTTCCTTGGACTTGCTGTGTCACACATCACGTACTGCAGCGGAGGGGCTCTGCTGCTCCCTGCAGCAGCCCCCGCGCTTGTGTGTAAAGCCCCACTAAAAATGGGTCAGGATGACCAAATAAAGACTAAGACTTAGCTTTTATACACCTTCCCATTAGCAAAAGTGCCTAAACGTGAGGATAAAGGTACTGACCCACTTTACAGAGGTAGGAGATGAGGAGTGAAGGAATTTGCCACGGTTATGCAGCAAGTCAGTGATGAAGCAGAAGGAAAATGGTCTCTGGAGTATTGCTCTTGTGCTCAAGTCCGTGGGTAACACTGCCATGCAGAAGCACAAGAGCTGTTAGTGTGTGTCCAACACGTGCAGGAAGGCTCCAGGGAATCCAGCCCAGAGTTTGAAATACAGCTCTGCCTGGAACAGGACTGAAGTCTCTACTAACAGGTCTCCTCTTCAGCCTGCATCCAAGCAACATCTCACAGCAGAGGAGCTATTGCCCAGCAGGTTTTTAACGTTTTCTTCCTGTTGCTGAGATTTACTGACCCGTAAACACCACACTGGGCACTTAAACACCTTAGAGAGCAGTTGGTGAAGTTACCAAATGGTTTCTTACTATAAATAGTCTGGGTACCTCGACTCCTGCAGCTGCACCAAGGTGAACATAGAGTCCAGGACACAGTGACCTGTCCTAGGAGTACCTGTCCGCAGTAAGGCATGGAATGGAGGTGTCATTAGCGTGGGCTCCTCAGAGTGGAGGGGGCAGACGGTAAGAGAACAGCGTGCTGCATGCTGAAAATCTCATCTGAGGAAAGAAACGTAGCAGGAATCCTGGGCTTGAGAACTGAGGGCTCATCGGGCAGAGGTGGGCGACCAAGCCCAGAGCAGAACCATCTCTGTTCTGGCTTCAGTACATGAAGCCCTGAGTCCACAGCAAAGCTAGTAGGGAATACAAGGGAAGTGTGGCTCAGCCCCCAGACCTGGTAAAGCTGGCAGAAATAATGACTGCTGCTTTTCCTTTCTGAAGAGGAAATAAAACTCTTCCTGGATCATTTTCAGGCAAAATAGAGAAAACAAGGAAGTTGTTAGAGTCTGGTTCCATCTCAACTAAAACGGAACTTGGGAAACCAAGGGTTCATTTATTATCTCAAGGAAGCCCATTATTGTTAACAGTCCTTTCTGTAGACTCTTCCTAAGCATCTGCCATTAGTGTCCTGGCACTGCAGTTCCTGTTTGCTCTAACACAGTGGTAGTTCTGGCTCTACGCAGACGCTTGCTTTGAGTGTCCCCTCCCTATTTGGTTCTCCTGGACCCAGTAAAGGGGCCTTGGGCTCTCCCAAGTGTTCCAGTTCACACTTTACCTTCCCAGGCCAACCACGGAGAGCAGCACGAGGGGCGTCACTACAGCATTCCACTGGAGGAGGTCAGAGCTGTGTTCCCACATGGACTGCCCTATCGCTTCCAGCAGCAGGTGCTTGTCTTGGAGCAGCTTTGCGGGGAGTGGCCCGGGAGGTGGGAAGAACCAGATGCATCGCGTAGTTGGGATGTTTCCTGGTGGGATAAGAGAGATGTGCTGCAAGAATGCAATTATTCCTGCTCCTTACTGTCATTTTCACACAGCACAGTCCCAGAGACGGGGTCACGCCAGGAAGAGCTGTAGGGAGCCAGCACTTGGCTTCTTGTTCACCTTCTCTCCCTTTTCTCAGATTAAGACCTTCAACGAAGCCTTCCTGATGGTGCGGAAACCAGCTCTGGAACTCTTCAGCTACCTGAGGAGCTCCAACTTTGCACACCCGGCTGTCAGATACGTGATCTGTATCTTTTACCACTTACTTGAGAGTAGAATGCAAGTTCAATACGAGCGGGTGAGTTTACTCACCTCACCAGCTCTGATGTACCGGGGTGGGATATATAGAAAGAAGGAACTCCTGAGGCTAAGTTGTCCTGCTGAACAGAAGCAGGATGGAATGCCATCCTTGCTTCGATGACCCTTGAACTTCCTTATACCTGACCCAGTCAGGGATACACTGAAGTGGTTTCTCAGAGCCTTTCCTTGACAGTCCATTTTGGAGATGGTGAGAAGGGAACAGGGAAAACCATGACCCTGTGCCACGTCATTCACTACTGTGCAAGGCAAGGCTGGCTGGTGCTGCACATCCCCGATGGTAAGAACACCGATGCTGTTGTGTTACTACATCAACTACACATGGGATGTGGGAGATGCTGCTGCAAGAGGAGGGTGGAGAAGGCTTCTAAAGCACAGACCCCACCAAATAAAGTAGAACAGAATGACAGTTACTTTCACGTGCTCTCACATGCTTATCATCAGCCTTTGTGCACTGGTAGTATGACAAGATGACATACTGTGTGTGGGTCTGTGTAACCTCTTCTGCTCTCAAGGGAGAGTCTTCCCTGTTAACGATGGTTGGGTTTTCTTACCAGTGTAGCAGAGTAAGAGCTACAAACACCCCCTAACTCATAGCAGTCTTTTGACTAAAAGAAAAGCAACTGTTTAACTTTGCTTTCAGCTCATCTCTGGGTGAAGAACTGCAGGGAGCTGCTGCAGTCTTCCTACAAGAAAGAACGTCTTGATCAGCCTCTGCAAGCATCCTCCTGGCTCAAGAACTTCAAAACCTCCAATGAGCGCTTCCTAAAAGAGGTCTGTAGAGCCTGTCAGGTTGTCTTGGTTGGCAGCTAAGAACTTCCCACTGGACTGTCTCTTGCCACCCAGCCTTGCCAAAGCTGCCTTTGCACTACAGAGTTCCCAATCTAACTGTAGTTCTTTTACTGCAGATAAAAACACAGAGAAGATACGTGTGGGACAAAAGAGAAAGCACAGAGCAGGGCAGGCCGCTGGGTGAAGTGGTGGAGCAGGTAGGGAGTAACAGCTGGTAACAGCTGATAACAGCTGCTTATGGCTTTGTCTCACCTGCTTTGGAAGACCCCATCATTGTGTGTGTGTGAACACACTGCATAAGCCTTGAACACTGCGAGGGATGGAGCAGTCACCACTTCTTTGATGTTCAGACCCTTAGACCAGATTGCTCCTTTGCAAGGAATGAGCAGACTGACTCCTGTATCATCTTCCTTCCCCCTTGGAGAGTGCCCAGAGCCACCAGAGCTCAGTGCTACCAAAAACCCAACCTGAGTTTTGTGCCTTCTCCTACTGGCAGGGTTTAGCTCGTGTGAGAAGTGCCAGCGATGCTGTCGGGGTTGTGCTGAAGGAGCTGAAGCAGCAAAGTCACCTGGGCTCCTTCAGGCTGCTCGTGGCAGTGGACGGCGTCAACGCGCTCTGGGGACGGACGACGTTAAAGAAGGAAGACAAAAGCCCTGTAAGAAGTGCTCTGCTCTGGTGCTGTTCCTGCATTCCCACTGCAGGGGGGTTGGCCAGGTATTCCCTGGTCCATTTGGCTTTGCTGGCATGGAGGGACCTGCACAATCTGGTGCCTGAGAGTCCTTACTGCAGGCAGCTCCTCACTAAGACAAGTGCAGAAACATCTTGTTACAGCAGGGGAGGGCTGGGCACTTCCCTGGGTGCCATCACTAAGGCTGAGTGCTAAGTTGAAAGCAAGTCAGGAAGTGCTGCTGAAGGCTGCAGCTGATCCTTCCAGTGTGATGTGAAGCAGGGGAGGGGAATTGAGGCCTCAAACTCCTGCAAAAGCAAGTGACCCAGACACTCCTCACCAGGTCTCTCCAGAGGAGCTGACGCTCGTGTACAACCTGAGGAAGATGATGAGGAATGACTGGGTGAGTTCCAGTCTCCAGCTTTGGGGGTGTTCTCCTTAGCAAGTAAAGATACATGCCAAGAACACTGCACTGTGCTAACCCCAGCCTGGTTTGGGTTGAAGGGACCTTAAAGCTCCTCCAGCTCCAAACCCTGCCACAGGCAGGGACCCCTTCCACTAGAGCAGCTTGCTCCAAGCCCCTGTGTCCAACCTGGCCTTGAACACTGCCAGGGATGGGGCAGCCACAGCTTCTCTGGGCACCCTGTGCCAGCGCCTCAGCACCCTCACAGGGAAGAGCTTCTGCCTAAGAGCTCATCTCAGTCTCCCCTCTGGCAGGTTAACGCCATCCCCCTTGGCCTGTCCCTGCATCCCTTGTCCAAAGCTCCAGGTTCCCTGGAAGCCCACAGCTCTCACAAACACTGTACTGGCAGCTCAGGGTTTCTAATCTGCCTTTCAGACCGGAGGTGCCATCGTGACCACGCTCAGCCAGACCGGCTCCCTCTTCAAGCCCAGCTTGGCCTATCTGCCCCAGGAGCTGCTGGGGAAGGTGAGTCCCGGCCTCTCCCGGTGCTGGAGCCGCCTCTGCTGGAGCGGGGCTGGGCCGGGTCCCCGCTCCAACCCCAGCTTTGCTTCCCAGGAGGGCTTCGACGCCCTGGACCCCTTCGTGCCCATCCCTGTCCCCAACTACAGCCCCAGGGAGTTCGAGAGCTGCTACCGCTACTACCTGGACCGGAAGTGGCTGCAGCACGAGAACGGTGAGCGCCGCCCCACGGCCCCGCACACACCGGAGGCGGGGGGGGGGGGGGGGGGGTCCCGCCGGAGCCGCGCTCACCGCGCCCCTCGTGTCTTGCAGCGCGCACGGAGGACGGGAAGGAGGAGCTGCGCTTCCTGAGCGGCTCCAACCCGCGGCAGCTCGAGCGCCTGGCGGCGCCGCTCTGACGCAATAAAGGCGGCGGCGGGGCCGGTCCCGCCCGCTCCCGGTGTCCGCGTCCGTTTGTGCGGGGGGGGGGGGGGGGCGGTGCTGACGCGGTTCCCGTTCGGGGGGGGGAGGGGGTGCGTGTGCGGGCCGCGCATGCGCAGCGGGACACGATGCCGGGCGAGGCGGTGACGCTGCAGCTGGGGCCGTACGCGGGGAGCGCGGGGGCGCAGTGGTGGGGGCTGCAGGTGCGGGACCGGGACCGGGACCGGGGATCAGGGAGGGACCGGGCGCGGCTCTGACCCCTGACCCCCGCAGGCCGCCGCGCTGCGCCGCCCCGCAGGGAACAGCGAGCTCCGGTCCTCCGCGCTGCTGCGCTCTGCGCAGGCGCCGGGCGGGGGGGAGGTCCGCGCCCCGCGGCTCGTGGCGCTGCAGCTGAAAGGTACCGGGGGGCGGGGCCAGGATGGGGCGGGGCCGAGGGGCGGGGCTCCGCAGTGACCGCGCTGTCCCGCAGGCGTCGCGGGCGCGCTCAGGACCGGAGGCGAGGGAGCGGAGGCTCCGGTGACCTGGTGAGTGCGGGGGATGGGGAGGTACCGGTGAGTGCGGGGGATGGGGAGGTACCGGTGAGTGCGGGGGATGGGGAGGTACCGGTGAGTGCGGGGGGATGGGGGAGGTACCGGTGAGTGCGGGGGGAGGGGGAGGTACCGGTGAGTGCGGGGGGAGGGGGAGGTACCGGTGAGCGCGGGGGGAGGGGGAGGTACCGGTGAGCGCGGGGGGAGGGGGAGGTACCGGTGAGTGCGGGGGGAGGGGGAGGTACCGGTGAGCGCGGGGGGAGGGGGAGGTACCGGTGAGTGCGGGGGGAGGGGGAGGTACCGGTGAGTGAGGGGGGATGGGGGAGGTACCGGTGAGTGCGGGGGGATGGGGAGGTACCGGTGAGTGCGGGGGGAGGGGGAGGTACCGGTGAGTGCGGGGGGATGGGGAGGTACCGGTGAGCGCGGGGGGAGGGGGAGGTACCGGTGAGTGAGGGGGGATGGGGGAGGTACCGGTGAGCGCGGGGGGGGCGGGGCGGAAGCACCGGTGAATGCGGGGGCTGGGGTGCGGGGCCGCCGCAGCTGCCCCCGTTTGTGTTGCAGGAACGGGGCGGTCGCCGCTTACCTGGACCGGGACCCCGGGAGCCGCGGGGGGCGGGCGGGCGCGGGCAGCGGCGGGGGAGCGCTGGGAGAGGCGGCCTCCGGCGGCGGCGCGGCTCGAGGTGCGTGCTCGGTACCCGCGGGCGCAGGGAGCCCGGGGCTCCGCCAGCCCCGGTCCAGGGACCGCTCCCACTGGAGCGGGGAGCTCCGAGCCCGTGTCGGGGTTGGCCCTGAGCACCGGCGGGGATGGGGCGCTGGTGGTGGCCCAAGGGGCACGGGGCTGATGCTGGCCCCGTGCAGCGGGCGAGAGGAAAAACGGTGGGATCAGAGCTCCTGCTGATGGAGCAGGAAATGGGTTAAGGAACTGAAGGAGAGGAAAACGGAACCGGCTCTTTCTCACCCAAGTGGCTGTTGAGAGCCGACAGGAGCTTCCCTCTTCCCATCTCGCTCCAGCTCCGGGTCCGGCCCCTTCCCCACTCTCTGCTGCCCAGGATGTTCCATCGGGCAGGAATGCGCAGCTCTGGTCCCATCACCTCGATGTGCAGCTGCATCCCAAGAGCCTCTACGTCATCCGGCAGTACATGCACGATGGGTACGGCCCGGAGGGCTGGAATCGCTTGTCCGGGACGGGGGCTTCCTTCTGCCTGCAAGAAGGAATTAAGAGGGGAACGAAATCAGCTTCGTTCTTATCCTTCCTTTATTCCATAGGGACTGTGGGTGTCTGGAAGCCTTTGCCCAAGGTGAAGGGCTCCTGCAGGACCCTGCCTGCCTGGAGGAGCTGGAGGATCGCTTGCACTACTTCACTGAGGAGTGCGATTCCCTTCAGGTCAGAGAGCTTGGCCCCAGCTGCCCTTTGCTTGCAGGACCCTTCCCATTAAGGTTCCCAAGGCTCTCAGGTGCTGCCCTTGTTCTGCGCAGGGCTTTCAGGTTCTCTGCGACCTCCACAACGGCTTCTCGGGAGTGGGTGCCAAGGTGACGGAGCTGCTCTGTGATGAGTATTCCGGGAAAGGAATCCTGAGCTGGGGCTTGACGCCAGCCCTGAGCAGCGTGGCTGTGAGTAGGCAATGGGAGGACCCGTGCCCGGTGCAGATGGGACGGCTCCTTGGTGGAGGTGGTAACGGTTGGGTTCTCCCCCTCCAGGATTCCCAGAGGAGCGCGTACAGACTGATGAACACAGCCCTGGGCATCGTCCATCTCTCCGCTCACAGCTCCCTCTTCTGCCCCCTGTCCCTCAGCGGGAGCCTGGGGCTCAAGCCACGACCTCCTGTGACATTCCCATACCTCAGCTATGATGTACGTGTGCTGGTCCCCGCTTTGGCCCTGAGGCTTCACCCCCACATCTCATTTTCACCCTGTAGCAAACAGGACCCCGTTGCCTTTGCGCTCCTGATGCGCTGCTCCAGTGGCAGCAGGGACAAAGCGCTTGCCTGGGCTGGTCCTCGTGGGTGCGCGCTGGCGCTGCAGCCTTGGCTCAGCATGCGAAGCACCAAGGATGGGCACCAAGCAAAGAGCCTGAGCTGTTAAACCAGCGCCTCCACAGAAGCACGGCTCACATCTCTTACACGCACAAGAACCAATGGACCCTGCCCTGTCACGTCTCCCTTTGTGTCCCTCCGCAGGCCTCCCTCAGCTACCACAGCAGCGCCATCCTGGCAGCAGCCCTCGATACCCTCACTGTTCCCTATCGGCTCAGCTCCTCCCAGGGCTCCATCCTGCACCTCGCTGAAACGCTCAACTTCTCTGGGAGAAAGGTGAGGGTTAAAGGACAGCGGCCCCCATCGAGCCCATCAGCTCCTCCTCAACAGGAGCTGTTCTGCTCCACGTCCATCCCCGCACGCAGGGCAGGCTGTGGGGAGCGGGTTCCAGGCCATCACTTGTCACCCCCTCCCTTGCAGGTTGCGGCTGCTTGGGCCTCTGTTCCCTTCCCTGCCCTCCACGGCTCCTCCCTCCCTGATGCTTTGTGCGCCCACCAGGACGTGCCCTGGAAGCTCCTGGCTCCGTGCAGGGAGCAAAAGGGCAGCTCCTGCTTCGCTCAGTCCGTCGTGCTCCGAGGGCTTGGCAAGGGCAGACCCAGCAGGTGAGGAGCACCCGAGCTGCACTTTACCCCCCCAGCACCGAGCTCTTACAAGTGGCACTCACCCTCCTTCCAGTGGCTCTGCTGCTCCAGGCAGTTGTGTGCGACTCCGTGCCCCCCAGGTCCAGGCGAGTGCCATGGCTTGGCTTTGAGCTGGTTTTCTTTGCAGCAGCCCTGCAGGAAGGCAGCCCCGCTCTCCCCTCCATGCCTGTGAGAGCACTGAGCACGTCCTGCAGCATTACTTACACACTGCGTTCCCTGGGGCATTCAGGTGGGTAACGTGGTGTTAGGTTTGGGGCTAGACCAGGCAGCACTCAGCTGGGAACTGCAGGGAGAGTTTGGGATAACTTCATTCCCCTTTATCCTTGCAGCACATCCCATGTGCTTGAGCAGCCCTGTTACACCCCGGCTCCATACCCCCAGTTCTTCTCTCCTCGTCTGAGCAAACAAGGCTTCCTCGTGGACCAAGCTCCCACTTCCTCCCCAGCAGGTAACGGGCACCCCTTCAACTTGCTTTGCAGCAGGAAGCGCTGATGTGGGGCTGACAGGGGACAGAAAATGACCCCAAAAGCTCCCCTTTTGGGTGGTTGTAGGACACAAAACCCAGCAAAGCAACTGCTGGTGAAGTAGAACAGGGCAGAGGAACGGGGCGGGTGGCTCTGCTGACACAAAGCTGTTTGTCCCTGCAGCTGTGGAGAGCATCCCTGTGCTGGCAGCCCTGCGGTCCGCCCCCGTGCTCCACACGCTCCTCTATGGCTTGTACAAGGACCTGCAGAAGCTGAACACGCGGCGCTGCGCCAGTTTCTTCTCTGCTGGCGTGGAGCAGGAGGACTTCCAGGAGGCCTTGGACAAGCTCAGGACTCTCTCCCAGTGCTACGAAACGGAGCTGGAAGCGGAGGACTCTGAAGGTGACGCAGACTCAGACTGACCCAGCTTTATTACCCGAGAGCGGAAGGAAGAGTCGCTTTCAGAATAAAGGGAATGGCTTTCGGGATGGCCCCGCTGCTGCTTGCTTCTTTCAGCCAAGCCCTGTCCGAGGCTGGCTGAAGGCCTGCAGCTCCCTGCACTCGGGCTGGAAAGGAGGAAAGGGGGGGTTTGTATGGCTGGGGGCTTTCTTCACCTCTGCTCTGCCAGAATCAGACCACACAATAAATACAGGGCTCAGGGCAGAGCCTCCCCACCTCCAATCAACGCAAGGGGAGAACTTACAAACCCCCCCAGTCGTGTGTGTGTTCCACAGGAAAACAGACATCTTATGTACAACATTTACATGGTTCAAAGGCTGTGGTGTCCACAAGCATCCATTCTGCTGCTGGAGGTCCCCATGGAGGTTCTAGAGGCTCTCGCCCCCTAACACCTTTCTCCAGGCCTTTAGTGCAGCTTGACAGGAGTACAGCAGGAAAATGAACCCAAGACCACCCCAAAAGGTGCCATCTTCAGTACCTGTGCAAGCGTTTTTCCTTTACCCACAGCACAAGCCTAGCAGCAAACTGGCAAACAGCTCCCTTCTGGTGCAGGCAGTAGCTTTTCAAGCCCAAACCAGCCCTCATTCATCAGGTTCCTCCTCAGAAAGCAGCAGATCCTTGTCTGAGAGCTGGTCCGTGTTACTGGTGCTGGTAGCATCCTCCTCATCTTCAGAGCTCCCATCACAGGATGTGTGGAACAGCCTCATCAGTTCTCTGAACCTGTGGGATACCTGAAGGACAAGGGAAATCCAAGCCGAGGTTATCTTTTGGTGGTGCAGCAGGGGCCTGGCACAGGCTGGAGCTGGGGGTGTTTTGTGCTTCCATGTTAAACCCACAGCAGGGTTTTATGCAGGGCTCAAGGGAGCTGGGAGAGCACCGGGTGCTTTGGCACAACGGTTCTGTTTGGCTGCACCAGAAGGCACCGGGGCTTGGTTTGAGCTTTTGGTTTCCAATCGGGATTCATTCTTCCCTGATGCAGCATCAAAGTTCAAACTGGGAGAAGCAAAGCCCCGCTCCCCCTTCCTCCCCCCTGCCCCATTCACTGCAGCAGAGCAGCAGCCCCTCACCTCGCCGGCCGTCTTGTTGCCCAGTGTCTGGGAGATGGCATGGAATGTTTCCAGCTGGGCTCCTTTCTCCTGGCACGTGGTGAGGATCACTCTGTCGGCCTCCCTGCAAAACAGCACCAGAGCTGAGAGCGAGGCCTGCTCCTGGGGAAGGGCAGCAAAGCAGGGCCCTGGCTTGGTCCTTTACTCACCCATCCCAAGACCCAGCTCGAAGCAGAGCTGCATTTGGCCCAGTTTTAAAGCTTTCTGAAGGATGGGAAGTGAGATCTTTCCCAGCTTGCAGCATTACAATTACACTGCCACAAGCAGACCCTGTCTGTCACAGAACCAGCAATGAGAGCCAGAGGGAACAAGGCAGGAAGGCAGGGGGCAGAAGACATTTGAACATGGGAACACACAACACAGGACTCTCTTAACACGAGAACTGAAGGCAAACACGGAATGCTGAGGAAGGGAGGTGCAGCTCAGGCAGACCCACCTGGTCCAGAGGACAACCTTCTCCCCGGTCGAGCTGACCTTGCTGTTCTTGGCACACACGGTGGCTTCGGTGACTCGCTGCTGCTGCTGCTGCTCCTCGTCCCTCTGCCCCAGGGAGGCAGGAAGCCCTCTGTCCTCCGCCTGCCCCTGGAAGCGGTGCTGGGCGTTTGCCCTTGCTCTGCTCTCGGTGCAGCCCGGCTCAGGGGACCGGGAGCTGCGGCTCTTCCCCAGCGCTGCTTTCCTCCAGCCCTGCTTTGCCTCACGTTTTCCTTCCAGGGGCAGAGGGGAGCCCTCGGGTTCTTTCACCCCCGGTTCTGCCGCGTGCCCAAAGGCAAGGGCCGAGTCCGGATGCAGCCCCTGAGTCTGACACGAGCCCCGGCCAGAAGAGGAGCTCGATCCCATTGAACCCTCCTCTGCAGCAGAGCGAGGGGGCAGCGGCAGGGCTGCGGCTCCTTGCTGCGGGCTCAGTCCCTCCCTCCCCACAGCGCAAGGGCGGTCTTTGGTTTCTTGAGGTAGTTTAAGAGGAGCTCTGTGGAGCTGGGTCCCTGTGGGGCCGTTGTCACAGCAGTCACTGTCCTTCGCAGCAGCTCTGGCACCTGCCTCTCGAACCCGGCCCTCAGGCAGCGCAGGCTCCTCAGCAGGTTCATGGCTGCTGGAGACGATCTTCCCTTGCACGTGAGACCCTGTGGGAAGCCCACACAAGCTGGGATGAGAAGCTGGGGAGGTTTCCCTGTGGCTATGACATGCACTGTGAATGCAGGGAGCAGCTCTGGAATTCCAGCTGCCGTTGACCCATCCTGGACTCCGACCGAGTCAATGTCCTTCACCGCTGCGGGTTACTACAACCAGCTGCTGGGTGAAGGAGTGCAGGGGGCTGGAACCAGAGGAGCTTTAAGGTCCCTTCCACCTCAGCTGTGATTCTATGGTAAGTGCACGCTTGGAGCATCCAGAGCGGATGAACACAAGGTAAGAAAATGAAAGGTTCTCAGACTTCCCCTCTGTCCACTTGTGTGAGCCAGCTCCGAGGTGACTGAGAGGGCTGCCTGGGCACAGACTGTTACCTACCTGACACCAGAGGCTCTGCTTTCCTAGACGCAGTTTTCGGTTTGCTCTGGCCATCCTCTCCCTCCTCTCTGCTCTCCAGGCTTTCTTCTGCAGCTTCCTTCGACGTTCCAGAATCCTTCCCTTCAGGCTGAGGACTGGATTCTTGCTGACCCAGGTTTGCACTGAGCTCTTGAGAGTCCTTGGTTTTATAGAACTTGTTTTCACACACCTGCAAATCAATACAGGGGGATATAGTCAGAGATGGGGCAGTATCCAGCCAAACCTAACACCTCAGCCTTTGCTTCCAAAGCATTCCTCGGCCCTCACAAAGGCTTCAGTTGGCACCGAGTCATTTTCCTTATGAAGAGGCACCGTTCTTTCCACAGTGGCCACAAAAGCATCTTCCAGTTAAAAAGCTTAATTCTTAAATAACTCCCAACTTCACATTATTGAGCAGAGCAAGGAGGGGCAGTGGAAAGTGAGCAGGAGGTAGAGAGGGGAAGGGCTGTGCAGTCAGAGCTCCAAGAGAAAGATGCTGTTGGTCATCTTTTGAGTTACTTTCTTCCTTAGCACATCACGTTGGAGACACGAGGCTGGACAGATCATCACAACAGGGGACTCTTGGCAGGGCTCTACTTCCCACTCACCACTCCAGCGACTGGGCCTATCAACTAACCTTACTACTACAATGGCTGCAGGTCCTCCTTTTGCTTTTCTTTAGCTTGAGATCGCTACTCCCTTCATGGCAGGAACATGAACATTCCTTCATCCCATCTACCCACTCGACCTCCTGGAAACAGACATACTCCAGCTGACAAATGTGCATGGAACACAAAGGGGAAAGGCAGAGGAAGGTGAGCCCCAGAGGGAGCAGCAGGGCTGGGCCCCTCTGCACACACCCAGAGAGGACTGAAGTGATTTTGCCCCTAGCCAAGCAAAGCACAACAGAAACCTTTCAATCCCCTTCCTCCAGCTCTGCCCAGGCTCTTGTCCTGCCTCTCCCGTTTATCCTCACGGGCATTTGCTCGGAGTCCACACACGGGCAGTAGGGAACACCCCAGGCCCACCTTGTCATTGTTCTGGCCGCCGATCTCTTTCCGCTTCTTTGCCCTGGAGGCTGCGTGAATCTTGGGTGGTTCCTCCTCCTCCTCCACATCTGGCAGGGACACTTCTTCAAACCCATCAAACTACAGGAGAGAAACAGAAACCCTGCTCGTCACCACAGACCCAACTGCATTCCTCCCACGACAACTGAGCTCAGTTCCAGCACGTGACAACTTCAATTACATTCCAACAGACATAAATGCTGGAAAACCATAGAATGGTTTGGGTTGGAAAGGACCTTAAGATCATCCAGTTCCAACCCCCTGCCACGGGCAGGGACACCTCCCACTAGGGACTCTGCTCGGTCCACCAACAGCTATCCCAGCCCTCTGCTTCCCTCGCTCTGCAAAGGCAGCCGCAAGTCGAGCTCTTCAAGCTCAAACAAGTCCAGTTTCTCCTCTTTTAGCTTTTGGGGTCTGAGGGAAAAGGTTGCTCCACCTCGTATTCCTTCTCCTCTGTCCAGTTGATCTCCTCAAAGTCCCCCATGCGGCTGGCAGAGGGCCGCAAGTGATCGAAGAAAACAGAGAACTCATCCTGCAAGTGGTCGTGGCCCTTCAGCAGCTGCCACATTTGGGTCTTCAGCTGAAAGAGAGAAACGCAGAGAACACGAGGCTTTTGTTCCATGTCAGAAAGGGGTCCTCAAAGCAAGGGGAGCATCGAGGCTTGACAGACCCCCAGCGTGGCAGCTGATGCCTGCATTGGTACTGTTCATGGATATCCTGAAACCATGCCACATCCAGCTATCAGACCTTGTAACCCTCTTCCAATACCTAAAAGGGGCCACAGGAAACCTGGAGAGGGGCAGTGGGTTGGAACTGGAGGAGCTTTAAGGTCCCTTCCAACACAAACCAGGCTATGATTAGCACAGAAATATCCCTCTAAAAGCCCAGGCAGACTCTGTAGCACTAAACCAGAACAGATAAAAGCCAGGTGGAGGTAGGAGAGAGGAGACAAAGAGGCCAATTGATTATAAAGCCTCCTGAAGGAGCAGCTTCAATTCTCTGCCACTTGTTAAACTCTTGTGGTCTCCAAGAGCAGCAAAGGGAGCACTGAAGCAGGGTGACTGCTGCGCAAGCAGGTACCCGGCTGCCCGCTTACCTCGGCGATCTCCTGGGGGAGGCAGTCAGTGCAGCTCTGCAGGACCTTGATGATCTTCTGGTGGTGGGCAGGGTTCTCGGCAAAGCAGATCTCCAGCTGCCTGAGGAACTTGCGGCTCTTCTCAAACGCCTGCTGCTCCTCAAACTGACCAAAGGGAGGGCACTGAGCACTCCTCCTCAAGAACCCATTCCCCAGAGCCAAACTGCAAAGCGCCTGGCTTGCTGCTTCCTTCCCATTCCCATTGACTCC